TTAGGGCAGCTAGGTAACCTAGGTCCTGGTTTACCCGCCTACCCATACTGGATTTGCGTTTTTAATACTCATTGGCAGTAGAGTTTGAATGAATCCTAACTAGAAACATTACCTAATAATACATTTTTTATTTAGAATTATTACCACTTGGAAAGTCAGTAAAGACTGGAAACTAGTAGATCTCTAAAAATTGCAGGACGATCTTGTTCGACCGAAATAGAACGTAATTATAAATTTTTCATATGAATGTACCTACAAAATAGTATTTCGCTTCACAGTTATATAAACTACTAGCGACCTGCCCCGGCTTCGGACGGGTGCAATACTTATGTATAAATACCTACTACAAAATGTCCTTATACACCACGTTCACTGCTATTTTGTCATTAGACAATACAAACATGTTTTATTTTGATATTTTCGACGATAAACGCGTGCGATCGTTGCAAGTCATGAAGTGCTCTAGGACGAAACGCGGCCATCAACGCCGCAACAAATACGTCCCTGCATTTTAAATTTGTAATATCTTCGGTAATATTCAATAAAATTACATGCTGTGAAAAGCATATTGATCAATGATAAATGCACAATTTATTTAAAGTACTTAATTGGATAAGGATTAATGCGGTATTGTTTAAAATCACTTCGTAAATAACCATTGATAGTAAAGGATAAAAAATGGTTATGGTGGGTTATCCCTAATAGATAGACATATACCATCGCGAACTTTTTTGTTGAACTTTTTAAGGTAGTCAATACTGTAGTACATTATTTTGGTCTATCTCGTAGGGTACAGCCAGCGTCTGCAATATAAGCGCAAAAAAAACGTGCTGATTTACGACATCCCATTAGAAATCTCTAAATTTATCAGTTTCTCTACTATATTATGAATGTATTATAACTATAAACCTTTCTTAAGAATCACTCTATCTATTAAAAAAAACCGCATCAAAATCCGTTGCGTAGTTTCAAAGATTTAAGCATACAAAGGGACATAGGGACAGAGAAAGCGACTTTGTTTTAGACTATGTATGTAGTGATAGTGATATCTCTTGATAATATACGCAATATGTTATTGTTACCAACACTTTCTATGCTAGACTGCCGAGCTTGAGGTATCGGGTCCGATTCCTAGCTGATGTAGGTAAATAGAAAATTATACGGGACTCCCAAAAAACCTTGGAAGACTGACTATATTGACAGTGATTTTGTCATAGGTACCTATAACTGTGAGTACGTACACCGTCAGTAGACCAGAATGAGTGCACATGATGCAACTTGTGCGGGCCGACTATAAGACAGCTTAACTTTTAGTATAATTAATTCAAAAGACTAAGGTCTTACGGCTTAAATAATAGGACAATTTTAAACAATGTGGTGTGTCATGGTAACACCGTAAAAGTTTGTATTATAGCAATTGTAATAAAACGTGTAACGGCTGTGCGCCAGTACCCAAGATTTACCATTATTTCCTTTTCCTCATGTTCATATAGAACTTTATTAATAAACTCCGTTTTATTTATTTATCTGATGTTATTTTATTGTGATCATTCCTATCAATTCCCATCAAACATATTCTTAACTTTGGTATCAGTTACATTGAGTTAACTCGTTATTCATTTATTAATAATTATTTTCTTAAATATTTAGGTTTGAGTAGAAATAACTTAACGATATTAGTAATTCTACATAATTTTTCGAAGCTCGGCTAATACCCGGCTCATATCAGAAACATTCATCTACTTACGGATATCGGTATCGGTTGCTCTTCATAAAACAAGATGATTCGATGAAATTTTAATATCGACACTACAGATTTTAAAGACAAAGAAAGAGCTTTGGTCGCCCTTGAAAGATGTGCGGGAAGTGATAACTTTGTTATCAATCTCGCCTCAATAAGATTACATCACGATGTTCCCCTCACTAGAGCATAACACGACTCTGATATTTTATCGTCAAACTTATTTTGTAACTCTTGTATATTGACTTTGAGTTTTACTTTTTTGTATATCCATACAGTGTGTTAATAAAAACTGATTGTTGTTAAAAGCTCCGGTAAAAAGGACACGCGCAGCGATGTTCACAAAATAATATAAACGTATGACATTTATCCAACGGATAAGTAGTATCGTCATACGCTTAATGGGATACTATGAGGCATCCAAAATCAAATTAAATAGCTAAAGGCTTACTTTTAAAGCTAAAAATAAGTGAAGTGCGTAAATATGTTACGCACTGCTGAGTGGTTTCATTTTAATGTAATAGTATCTACCCTGCTTTTATACGTTCCCTCAAGCGAAACCGGAATTTAGAAAATATATCATTACTTATAGCTAATACAGAAAATATTTAATGTCAATAAAAGGTGTTATTACATCGAAATTACGAATTTATGGTGTAAGAGAGCGCTCGTTTGCGCCAAATATGGCCCAACCGCAATATTATTTTCATCTTTATGCCCAGTGACTATTATAAAAAGATTTTTACGTAATAATGCCTGCAAAATATATTTGATTTTTTCTCGTTCAGTGCAAGTATGTGAGCGAATGGTATTGTTTTTATTAATTTTATTTTGCGAACAATGCTAATCAAGCATTTTACTACTTATCACGTCATAATTAATTACAAGTGGTGTGTGCTCTGTTAATCTTCTGTATTATTTTTTTATTTTCTGTTTGAATTTTAATAATAGTAACTTATATTTTTTTGTATTAAATACGTTTGATCGCCAAGCGATCTAGAGGTAGAGGTCGAAAGACCTTTCTGTATTTAAATATGAAATAATGAAAGGTACCGTAATTTTCTTATTTAATTTTTTTTGTTCAATAATGAAGCAATATATTTTCAAAATTTTCAGAACTACAATGTCTACCGAAATGTTTTTATAGAAATCTATATTTAAACAAAATCTGTTTCAATGCAGATATGTAAATGAAGTATATCTGAAGAAATCGCGTGTCTCGAATCGTGCGTAAAATTGGAGGTCTTGTTAATGAAACACCTTGGCCCGAATCAATATAAACCCAGATTTTATCGCCAGCTCACCACAAAACTTCATTTCATGACCCTTGGCCGAATCCGCTGCTACAAAATACGTATTACGATAAGAGTCTGAAATTAAATACGTGATATAGAGGTATACACAACTTCTTAGTAAACTTATTCAACTTCAAATGAACTTATACACAACTTTTCTGTAGAAGACATGTACTAGTTTATTCACATATCTCTATTGAATAAGTTTACTCATTTTTTGTGGTAATACTTACCAGTAACTGGTGAAATTCGGCAATACGTTCAGCAAAGAAAAAAGTTATCTACCCGCAGAAGTGCGGGAAGCGCGAAACGGTAAAAGTGTTGAAAAAGTTGTCAGAATGTTTTAAATCGTATCATTTTTAATCTAACATGTTAATTTTTTTTAAAGAAACATAATAACGTTAAAAAAGTAGTGAACAATTTCAAAAGTAACTTAGCGAAAATTTCATCTTGACGAAATACGAATACACGCGTGTCGGTTAAGGCTGCTCGGGTGGCACGAGTGCCTTCGAGCGCTCCTCGACGGACACTGAAAGCTTCGAGGCTCTCTCTGTAGAAGCTTATTCGGTGGTTCCAGTGCGCTTCACACCTGCGCACTAGAGCTTACCTTTGACCATCTACCTACGCGCTATTTGCACTTATACATATTTTTTAGAGAACTATAATTAGTTATTGTTTTATATTATGTATTTAAGGCTATATTGATAATTGTTTAAAATACAAAGATAATATTTAAATACTTGAATCTTAACTTTTAGGTGTAAATATTATTTTAATGAACAGTCATAAAAATGTTTTTAACTATTTTTAGTGCTGAATTTATGAAGTCGTATTTTAATAATTTTAGTATAATTTATTTCAATACCTTTCAAAATGTAATTCTGTAAACGAGTTATTAGGATACGATCGGCAAGGCGGTTGCTACGTAGCTGTTCGTAGGCCTGCTACGGAGTGCTACGAGCCGCTACGTTGCATATAATTAAGAATTGTATTATATTATGTAGATTTATTTTCGAGAAAATTTTGTTTTCATTTTTATACCTTTTAATACACTTTCCTTAAAAAAAATTAGGTAAATATAGATTTATTAATTTATGAATTAATGAGAACAAGAATAGTTTGTATCGATCTAATTTGTTCGTGTTGATTCTTCTTGCGGCTAAGATAGAGCAGTTGAAATGAAACACTGATTCCCGTCGGCCGAAGTTCGTGCTTCACGCGATTATCACATAAACAAAGTTCGATTTGACGTCAAAACATGGAACCAAACTATTTCAGCAATACTTATAAATAGACTGATATAAGAAATTGGCTATGGTTTTATTCAGCGGAAACCTTACGTGTCAATGGAGCCTGTTTAGTTAAATAAATGAAATAAAGAATGAAGTAATCAAAAGACTTTAAGAGTATGTACTGTTTCGTTAATAATCAACAATAAATAACCTTCACCGGTGTATTTACGGTTCCGGGAATATTTTTCCATGAAATTTTTCGTATTGTTATAACTTTTGAAATGAACGGAAATATTACTTGTGAACGTATATTTGTTTGTGTATTGTAGTTACTTTTAGCTTTCTCTACTAACCTGACTCGGGCATTTAAAGAAGGCACAATCCGGACAAAAAATATGCGTTGCGTGCCGTAATACGATATTATTGGTACTTATTATAGTAATTAGTGGAAATTTGGACCCTCGCTGTTATGTGCATCTGTTACTTTTGTAAAGCTAGCTTGTTGGTGTTGCGCTTAATTAATGAACCGAATAGTAACTAGCCGCGGCCCTGTCACGACACAATGTTATAGGTTCGAACTGGAGAAAATGATAGTGATAAATAATCAAGACTTGTGTAATACTTACACAGCACAGTGTAAATGAAAATATGAGCGATATTATGAGTCCTATGTGTAAGAATTGTATTTTTTTGAAAATATTTAAAGAGTTGGAATATATTAAATTTGGTTACCTCATGGTTTTCGGGGATGAGTTGCTTTCTCCTGATGTTGGACTCGAGGTAGCGCGGGTCCTCTCCTGAGACGGCGCGCTGGTACGACAGCCGCCTGCCTTTAGAGTCCGTCTTCGGCTCAACATTGTTCTCAGGTATTGCAGAGAAGTCTTGGTATGAGTGGTATAAGTTTATCTCCCTACTCTTCTCGTCTTGTATGACTCGCCGCAAGTAGTTAGTGAGCCCTTCACTGGCCAGCCACGTGACCCTGAAATGTAACAAATTGATTGATGACATGGCTCACTCCAGTAACTCATCGCATCGCCTCGCTACGTATCGATATCATGATGCTCACTCGATACAATATCGATTTTTTACAAAACATGCTGTTCTTAAAGGGTTTAACATTAATAATAAAGCGCTTTCAGCCTTGTTACTCCAGTTTAATCTTTTTCGATGAAATTCATAAATAGTTTTGATAGAAGATGTTTTTATCCAAGTATTTAATGATCAGCGGATTTTATTCAGCGAACTAATACTTATACTTATTTTGAACCAGATTATTATATAAATTTAGAACCTATTTTGCTTGCTTGGAGGCTTATTTTCTACCCAAATAATATTCGTAACTATATTGTTTTGTTATAAAATCAAATATAATATTGTCATAATTAATTTTAACATCGGTATTATTATACTGTCTCATTTTAAGGCGTTATGTTTAGTGTCGTACAGTCCTATAACTGTCATATGACAAAACAGAGAGCAATGAGCTTTGACTATCATATTATTGATTATCGCATCGACGTCAATAGGGAAAGTACCCAGAAGACTAGCAGCATTGCCACGTTGTATGGCAATGCTTAACATCTGACCGAGAAACAGACCAGCCCTCTGGTCTCGAGATGCGCCGACCAGGCATCTTCAAATATTTTTAAATGTGTAAGTTACATACCATTCAATGACAGTGTTTACATTGCTGTTAAAATAAGAGGATTGCAAATAAAATTACATATTGGTATATGCAAAACTGTTTCAAATGGCATAGAGTTGAAAGAATAGCAATGTTTGTTTGAAGTAAAAAGTACAGAAATCAAATTACTGTTATACACGGGCCTTCATACCACATCGTCTCTCAAACGTTTGTCATAAAAAGCATTGTTCGGTTAAATCATACGACTAGTTTGTTTGTACGAACCAAGTTCGCTTGTTCTATGCGTTTGTCTTTTAATATTACATTGTAGACATTAGACAATGCTTTGAAAACATGGAATTTTAAAATTACAAATTCGTGTTTGAAAAAATGAAGTGCACGAGTAAATATTCGGTCCGCAAAGTATTCTTTTAGTAGCGCAAAACCAATGGAGGCACATTTTTTTAAGAAGGGAAAATAATCGAATGACTGCTCCCGCCTGGGTGAGGCGGGAGGGAGTGTCAGACTCTTACTGACTAAAAACCACCCCGTTCCTTCTCCTGCACGTCGAGCCGGAGCCCCGGTTACCTGTTAGGTAACCAATGGGGGCTAATGTCTTATTGCTCACTAAAAGGTACCTACTAGGCGCAAATGTAGGAAGGAGTATTTTTGTCCAATCACAGCAGATGGCAAATATTGAACGTCCAATCATGTGACATTAGCTAATTTCTTATTGGACGAGAATGAGAGTGCTACCCTACGCCATCTCGTGAGTAAAACTACTGTGGGCCTCCATTGAAAGGCGAATGAGTCAGGTATGTGGCACTGGGGACACCTTCAACAATAGTCCGTGACTACCACACTAGTACAGCTGGAATCTATCCCCTCCCTACAGTAGGGGGTTTTCACAGTTTAAAAAGTTAGCGCTGCTGACCGGTCTCGGCCACCCACAGAAAAGAGTACGGGTGCTGACTGTTTAGCAGCACGTAGTTTTACACAACTACTACACAGTGGGTTATATCAACTAAGGCTTGCATATAATCGTACCATCGTCATATCTCTCTTTATTGAACTTTTATTTGTAGAATATAATATATATGATAATATATTATTTTGTTCGCAGCACAGACAGGGGTTGCTCCCAGATCCGAGCGCGTTACGCGCGTACATCTAAGAGCCATCAGATCACCACAGTTGGGGCCATGTAGGGCTGATGCCCGATATGGAAGATAGGCCGCGGAAGACGTAATGGGTTATCGGAGGTACTGCTCAAAGAGCAGACGTAGGAACGGTATGGTTTTATTTAGTAACAGTCTGTCACACCCTATCACCCAAGGCGAAGAAAGTCATTAGATGATCCTCCTACCACACAATTATTGCTCTACTTTATTATTAGCCACACAACAGTTACACGTTATATACTGCGAGCCTATCGTCAAAACCTAAGTACGTATAATTAGAGACGCCACCGTGCCTGTTACGTTGTTGAAAATTTCAAAATTGCTAATCTAGCAAAATTTTATAACGTAACTATGGTATATGTTCCTTCGAGCAATACTTCAATTAAAAATTTATAATACTGAGGATAAAGGCTTTATAAAGACTGCACGGTTGGCGCGGTGGCTGGGCAACTGGCTGCCGCGCAATGTGTCGCGGGTTCGATTCCCGCCCGGAACAACTCTTTGTGTGATCCACAGATTGTTGTTCCGGGTCTGGGTGTCATGTGTATGTGATATTGTATGTTTGTAACCGCACCCACGACACAGGAGAAAATCCTAGTGTGGCGCAAAGTTTTAAAAAAAAAAGACAACACTTTGTAGTATCTGCTTGCTGGAATGAGAAACAATTTGTGAAATTCGCGATTGCAAAATCAACTTAGAAAGAAAGTTAATTTTCGTTTGAAAATAAAAACACGAGTGGACGCAATTATAATCATAACTCAAATGTATCGTCTTGTAATCTGCATTATCCTTGACACTAGATCACTTTTGATAGGATGTCGGCACAGAACGTGAAGCTAATGCATTGCTTCATTATAGCTGAAGCGACATCCAATGATTTTCAGGATTAGAGCTACTGCAATCTTGTAACAAGTACTGTTCGCATGAAGAGAATAAAAATTAATACAAAAAGCCCCCACTTATTCGGTAAGGGCAGCGCTCAACAATACTTAACCGAAAAGATAAGGGAGGTCCCTTTACGTAATGTAAGCAATTATCTCCCTATTTAGATTTTTATGAGGGCACTCGACACCGTGTTAAATATTGTGTGATAAAAACATTAAATAACAGTTTAACGGTATTTTTGAGCTGTTTAGCAATGAATACTTACATGTAGTGAAATAAAACAACCAAAATAAGTTAAAAGTAAAAAATGCCATCAGCGTACTCAATCAATGTAGCTGGGATGTTATCGAATCGCTTGATACAAGAGAATAGTGTCAGTAACTACGACGTTTATTACAGATACATTAATGCCATGACAACTGTAAGGTATCCGGGTTGCATGGCGGACATACTACATAGTCGAGTATTCAGCATGTTAACTTGGCTTGCCATATAATGCTGAAAAAAGTTGGATGCTTAACGTTAGGTATTGCATGATAATTACTTTGAAGACGTTTATTTGTCGATGCAAGAAGGAAAAGCAAAGACATATAAATATAAACTTTGTTTATGGAGTTCTGGTTTCAATCATAGGATTGATAAACATCATATGTCTCTGCACACTCACACACCTTCCTGAACACCTTGATCTGAAGGATTTTTTATAAAAAAGATTTTATAGTGGCTCTTGGATCTTTAAACCTCTCCTGGCAATTATGCTTCAGTACAGAGATCAGAAAAAGCCCACCTTTAGTAGTAACTACTCTGTAAATTTCAGTGAAGCAATTATAATTTTAAATGAAATTACAAGGACCACGAAGTTATCTACTTACAAATGCCATGTTTTGTTGTAACATTTAAACAGTTCAAGAACGAAAACATTTCCTTTGTGTATCCGGCGGTCTTGCGCTCACAGATTCTATTGTATTCTACTAAGATCCTACTTCAAAACTTTGTGAACAAAAAATATCTACTTTTGATATCAAACAGAACAATTGTGGAATCCAGCCTCTTTCAAAAAAGTTTTGCAGATGTTTATTTGCCATTTTAACTAGCTTGGCACTGAGCACGACTGCGTAATTATGTAATAAACCATTACCGGATACTAATACTAATTCAATAAAACATTGTCGCTAATTGTTGCGGTATGGACTCAAATAAATCAATAAATTGAATTTAATTGGAGACAATCAAATTGTGGCCTATATGCGGTCACGGAGACGCAACCGCATAAAGGCCACACTTAACCGGCACGGCTCCAACCCAGCAATTAACTTGTCATCTAAATATGAACATTTACATCTTATGTCAAATGTCATATTTCATCACGTTAATATAAAAATGCGGTGCGGTTTTTTTGTGACAAGCCCGCCACAACCTCCCGAAACCGCTGCAACTCCTATCTGTGGATCTACAGTAGATACAACTGTGAAAACCCCGGAACACTTAAGTCCGGCGCGTTCAGGGACATGAATAACTGCCTTGGTACCTACAACGAAATAATTCAGAAGATTTTATAATAGTAGAAGATAATAAAAGAAGTAAAAGCCAATATTTCATATTTCAATATTACAAACAGACATTCCAATTTTATTTATCTCTATTGATGAATCTTAAATATTTCTTCTTCACCTTAACCTACCTAACCTACCTTAGAAATTTAAAAAAATCTATAAATCCATTAGTTCCGCAATTGACAGACTCAGTCCAAGTTCACACTAAGGCAGACAGTGAGAATACTCACAGTCGGCGGCGAACAATACGTTTAGAGTGAACGATGCCTAATTAATACCAGTCACTGTCGGTATCACACGGAGACCTTGTAAACCTGTTGACTAATAGTTTGATGTCCGTTGTATTGATCGATGATTGCAACATGTATACCGTGCACGAGTACTGCGCAGTAAACTGAAATATGAAGCGACGTTCAAGTCTGGCTTTAATCTTAATTATAATGAAAGCATTTAGTTTTGATAACTTGCAGCTCTACACGTCTGCATCAACGAAGTTCCATAACTTTATACAAATTTCCACATTAACGACAGAATAATTTTAATTAAGTAAATGGCAAGTGTTGTGAACTTACATTTGGAAATGTTACATTTCGTTAATTTGTACGTAGGAAGGATACGAAAGAGGTGACGGACACTTATGGCGTGAATTGTATAGAGATAAATAAATCTAAATATTATTGTCTATTTCAGCGTTCAAGTTGGCCTTAATTAATAGACATAAAGGACGGTACTATAGTTAAAGTACTCGTGCTTTTATAACATCCCTAAATAATTATGTAAAAAGGATAATACGAGGACTCAAGGTCCTATACACATGCTGCTTATGTCTAGAGCCGGCCTTGCATAAGACAAGCTGTGCACACACGTACACGTTCCTTGAAGCTTTACACGCGCCAAAACTTACACTGAACAGATATCTTTTGCATGTGTTAAATAAAATAGTAACCTTTTTTCGTCAAGAATACAGGTCTATATAGGATTTCATGTTTACATTTACCAAATCATTTATAGCATATTTGTCATAACAATCGTCACATGAAACCATCGCTTTAGGCTGAGAAGGTAAGATATAGAACCAATAATTAGCCATAACATTATCATTTGTCTATTTTCCTTGAAGGCGTAGGTAGAAAGAAATACACCCACTTAGTTAGTACAAAAGTAGATGTACGTATGTTACTTATTAGGTACTTCCAAAATAGGCGCTTGTTGCCATATGTTGGGTGAAAATTTTATGCGTGGTGACAACCACAGAACATACAAAGAAGTTACATGTTCTGTGGCCACAACATACTTTCTGTGGTCTAGTTTTGTGTCCCTACAACAGAAATGTTGTGTCAGCAATATAGATCTTCACACTGTACATAGTACGTTGCGTTGGTTGAAAGTATTTACAACAATAGCATTTGCAATTGCTTCTGGTGGTGTCCAATTGTATAATATGCCACGTACATAGTTCATTCATGAGCACTGTGCAGGTGTACAGATCCGTACAATAATGCTTCTTGGTCAATCGAGTTGTTGCTATGCAACGATCTGATTCTTGGATTAGCCAACTATTGGGTTTATCAGTATAGACATTCTCAATAATCTTCATACGACGAATCTAGACTTAATATACGTACATATTTAGTTGATATTGTTATTTTCTTGGAATCAGAAACAAATCAATATGTAAGTAAATTGATCTGTATCAATTATTGACCTTGAATTCTATAGCCAGACGGTCATTATATGTGAAAATCAGACACGTTGATTGTGTGTTTCTGTATTCGTGGAATTCCATCAAACGCCATGAACGGGTGAGGTGGGCGCGTTGATGTAATTTTTCGCTCCGATTGTGCCTTCCAGCAACGATCTGAACTAAACGGATTATCTTGTGCCGTTCGAAATGCACGCCATTTACCTACCAATTGTGGATTTCAACCGAAATTTCAAAGATTCGATCTCCATGTGACCTGCATATAAACTCATGCGACGCGACGGTGAAACTAATCGTAACTTTGTCGAATCTCGTGCAAAACATTTATAATCCTGCCCATTCGGGATTTAGCTGGCGAAAATTTCTACAATTTCATAAAATGATTGCGTACAGGACTTTTCAGTGTAACTAATAGAGTTGGTTTAATTTTCGAACTGCACCAAAATTAAACTTTACAAATATTTGTGTTATTCGACATAACATCCTGAATAAGATAAATAAGTATGAATGGTCGGTTGGTTGGTCGTGCTTACCGATTTTAATATTAGAATGAACTATTGGTTAAATGATATATATATATGTATTGGAAATCTAGAATCGTTTAATTTATAAAAACGTCGTAAGCAATAATGGCACTTTAGAGTTTTTGTTTTCATAAAATCCATAAAAATAACTTTCAGTTTGTTCTAACATTGAGTTTTTATCTTCGTACTTACATTATTTGGTATGACAAAGGTGTGAATGAGAGAAAATTTTCCTGTAGCTACTGACGTACTTTTCAATTATTTCAAACAACTGTTGAAGGTTACAGACATCCATAAAACAGTTGAAAGTTGAAATCAAAGAATACCTTGTAAAAACTGGTCTTGTATGGGCAACATTGTTACCGATTTAATTTTGGTAAGAATATCTTTAACGAGCTTCAAGAGACAGGCCGCCATTTTTATAAATTCATTCGTTGTTCGCCTTAGGGTTTGTCAATCAAGCGCTACGAAGTCGAATGAACGATAACCCTTTCCTTAACCTTTTAGGATAGATCATTCTGACGGTTGGACAGCCCAGTGACACAGTACGGTACAAGTTGGCCTTTTCAATCGAGACTTCTAAAAAAGAAATGTTTTGCCCGCAGTTATAAACTAAAGGGTTTCAGTGATACCCGTCGGCAAAAAGAACTCAAAAAGAACTCAAGTCCTTGGACAGCTGCCATATTTGTTACAAGCTAACTAACAGATATGTTACAACCTTTCCAAAAACAAGGACTCGTTTGATCTAGAGACAGTTTTGTATTTGAGCCTAAAGTGTTTACTGGTCTGTAAAAATAAATACCTGTTAGATCTTGATTTTCGACGATTTTGGCCGGTTGCAGAATCCAAACCGGAACTCATGGATATGGCTCGATTGAGCATAGACTCTTGGATATACGTCTCATTAAGACCTGTAAAATAAAATCAGATTAAATATCGACTTCAACTGTTTCAATTTTATTTACGTCACATCTGTCATATTTTACCGTCGTCATCGATTAATGATATGCCCAGGAGTGTGTTGTGCCCAATTCCGTATTAGCAAGAATTAGCATTAATTATATTTCTATTTTGACTTCAAAATCACTTTGTACAAATGAATTACATCAACAGCTCGTATCAGTCTACTGTTGGCTTTTTTTTAAGGGGGGAAAATGATCGAATGACTGCTTTCGCGTGGGTGAGGCGGGAGGGTGTGTCAGACTCTTACTGACTAAAAACCACCCCGTTCCTTTTCCTGCACTTCGAGCCGGAGCCCCGGTAACCCATTAGGTTCTCCGAGCCTCCTGTACAAGAAGGGTATAGACAACTTTTGTAAGATTTGTCACAGAGAATACTCTACATATAGGTTTGTATTACACCATCGATCCATGCATCCTATCCTATTCAAACCTATCAATAGATAGCGCATTCAAAGCATGACGACAAAAAACAGATTAAAAAAATATTATCAAAAGGAACATCTATGTTCACAGTGCCGCGTGGTGGTAAACGGCAGACGTGTCAAAACGAAATGTGGTCGTTGTTATAATATTTTGGATATCTGAAAATATAGCATCGACTAATCTGTTTAAGTAACATAACATAACATCACGCCTTTTATCCCCTAAGGGGTAGGCAGAGGTGTACATTATGCCACTGTACAATGTAACACCCAATTTTCACTATTTATGTTATGAGTCCCATGTAATAAGGGGTGAGCCTATTGCCATATACCGGGCACAATTCCAGACTCCGTGCTACTACTGGGAGTCTGTCTGTTTAAGTATCTGAAATCAAAATACTTGATTTTTAAAATTTTCTCCACATGCAATGATTTGTTCCGCCGTGATACCTGTAGTGCATATGTATGACCTTCATCAAACAGACTGTTTTAGTGACAACCTTTTAGGGAACAACTAAATGCTTTCATCTGACTTGCTCCGTTTTTTATATGTCTGTCCGAATCTGACTGCAAGGTGAGCACTCCGGCCCAAAATAGGTTTTTATTTTGAACTGTTGAAACTCTGTTAACGGTCACATTATTAAATAATGAAAATGTAGAAAGATTAGTAATTACATAGTTACTTAAGTTTTAAATACTACTTTATCACAAAAAATTTGATATCAATTTTCAATTTGCTGCTCTATGTTAAATAGTAACAATGGCGTCATTTGCTTGAACGTCAGACATGCAAATAAGTAATTGATTAGATAGCTATGTATGTATCTCAAGATAGATTGAAATATCAGGCAGGTGCGTACATTTTGATCACATTCATCTCTAAAATTTTTATACGATAGATACTGTCTGATTGTACCTCTACATAACGCATATTTTATAACTCATCATTTTGGAATCAAATAGGATCGTAATGTTATAGCTTCGTAACTCTTCACTATTATACATACAACTCTATATAAGTATCATTATAGTCTGAACCCATTACACTCGTGGAGTAATATTCCAGGACCTGTACTACTATGCGAATTAACTAGAAACTGAAAAAATCCAATATAACTACTATATATATATACTATATACTTGACCAGGGAATCAACCCTGAGACCTCTTACTCGGCAGTCTTGCTTGCGACCAACGAGGCAGTACATTGTATGAGTGCGGAATCTAGAGTCTAACAACGACAAATTAAATGAAGATATGTTAGTTGAGGCTTTGGCATCTATTAGAAATGTGCTGCGCAAGTAAGAGTGTCTTGTACTATGAGCTATAGCTCAAGTGTAGTCCGGTTGGAGTGCAGCCAGCCTGCATCCGCCACTCGGTCTCCGTCGACGAGTGTGGTAACACATTCGTCCATGGTGACCGAACAGAAAAGTGAATATATTTCATTTACATCAACTTGAAAATAAACGTTTCAAATTAAATTGTACTGTTAATTATTCTTTTCAAAAGTTTCTATAATGCGATTTTAATATTTTTTCTCAACAATCTGTTGCTTTTTTAAGATACTGTCTACCCTTTTTTGTCCTATGTTTAAATTACTTCAATACTAAAACCTGATTTATAGAGTTTGTGATGCAACGGTCATTCCATTTGTGTTAATTCATAATGGCAGACCTATTGTGCCAGTCTGTTGCGATAATCGAAACAATACTTCCAAACGGAATTCAATGAAAGGCTTCCCCCAAATAACAATTTCCAATAAATAAACTCCCAACAATATCATTCTATTCTTGCCGAATATTAGAAGAACGTATGAAATTAGTAAGTAAGCAATTTTCTGTAAACCGCTTACCTAAGTATCCATTTTCTATTAATGGGTTCGTTGGATACTATAAATACAAAGTAGTTTGTATTTCTCGATGTGAATTAGAGATGTATTCGGATACTTATTTGTGATTGACATTACAAATATGAAGTTATATTCGTACGTTAATAACAACCGTTTTCCTTACTTCGAGTTTAAAAATATAACATGTAGGTAGTTGGCCGTTTGTTTACGTATTACATCACCCATTAGAGCTAGAGTCCACGTTGGGTTCTAGCGCCGTGGCATTCAGGTAACACGAGATTAATTGCAATTAGTAAATTGTAAGGTAGTTCATTATCATATATTTCACTGTCAATGTCAGCGGGTGTCCCTGAGCCTGAGTGAATGGTTCCCGGCGCGGGTGTTATGCGCGAGCTCGTTCATCATTTTGTCTCGCTTCACTTACACAGCTCATCCGAATAAAGTCTGTCAGGTCTGTTCATGACAAAAGTATCCCTGCTCCAACGCGCACAGCTTTGTACACTATCGCAGATAGTTCCTTTGAAAGCCTAAGGCGTGTGCAAACCTTATTGTTGAATGTTGAGAACAAATATCTGCTTCGTTTTATTACAACTTTGCACAGCGTAAAGATAAAAAAGCACTAGCAAATTGCAAGTGAACTATTTTAATATGATGTTGATTTAGTTTTGATAGCATTATTTTATTGTATTTCTTATGTGTAGGGGAAATATATATAGCGTTGTCGAGGTATCATTATTTGATAATCGGTTTGGTATTGCAACATTTTGAGCAATCGCCAATCAAAGTCAGATTTGTAGCTGAATACGTCATTACATCTTTTTGTAACTAATTTAATTGCGTTTTCACAGAATCATCTAACAAAGAAAAATGCAGCAGTAACACATTTTTGAACTAGCATTGGTTTCTCTACTGCTATTGCAGTAAACTGAGTAACTGGAACTTGTCCTTTGATAGTAGGTAAATGAATAGAATCTCTGTGTTTGTACGGTAGCCTGGTGCCCGAGTGCCCTTGTACCGGTGAGGAGTTTCCCAACAATGTCATACCAAACAATTTGTAGTTGTTTGTAGCTCCAGCACTATTTGTGGTTTTAACTTACAGCATTCGTTCAGCTAAAATTTGCAGAGGTTTTCGTTAAATGTCACGAACTGTTTTCTAAAGGACGAAATTGAATGGAGGTCGTACACGTGTATGCAGTTGATGCTGTACAGAAATATAGATGAAGAATTATGCATGAAACGCAGAGTTTTATTGGAATGCATTCATCGGAAAAATCTCAGCTCAAAGGCAAGTACTTCAGCTCTTTGACCGGTTATGAATTGCGATGAAAATATTGCATAAACTTAAAATTAAGTGATGAAATTGCGGAATAGGTATTTTATAATTGAAATACGTATGTGTATTCAGTACTTAAAGCTGATTGTATGGAGGCCCGTTTAATTATATTGCAATAATAGAGATTCAGTAACCGGTGTACGTACATGGTGTCAGGCGTACAAGGACCCTAAAATGTATAGTGTGTGTATGTTGTTTTGAACGGTTCTCGGGTTATCACTCCCCGTTACCGTATTTAACAATCGAGTGTGCAGGTATCAATCAGAGTGCAGTGCTTTTGTTATAAGGCAATGCACGTTTAACAGAGGCCGGGTGGCAGCACTTTCTGAATCCCTATATTACGATCTCCAACCCAAATGTAAAGGATGAATAAGATCCATCTGTGGACTATTACGGGCAGTTGATGTATTGAGCTTAAAAACACGACCATAAAAGAAATTTTCAGACTAACAAAACGCATTTTGCATTTCCAAATTGAGCACTCGGATACAGAATGTATCTGTACTTACATAATTGACTAGTATTTTGTACTAGCTTTTACCCGCGGCTTCGCTCGCGTCACAAAAGGATAAAAAGTAGTCTATGTGACCTATACCAATACATACAGCGCCATCTATACCAATACTTTTGTTTTCCCTCGGGAATATCATTTTTTTTTCGGGATAAAAAGTACCCTATTGTTTAATCCAGACTACTAACTTTACGTCTGCAAAAATTCAATGCAATCGGTTTAGTAGTTACGGCGTGAAGTCGGAACAAACAAACAAACTCACTTTCCCATTTATAATAGTAAGGATAAGGAAAATGTAATGGTCGAAAGGAACACCTTTACTCAACAAAGTACTATAAAAAGATAGAGTATACTAACACACATAAATGATACAAGTGATGTGTGTACACAATACTTACTGTTGATACTAGGCGATGTGTCTCCTAAGGGCTGACTGCCAATCAGTATGGGTCGACTTCCAGAAATGCTGTCCCCTTCACTCTGTTGATCAGGTAACGTCTGCTCGCTCTGAGATATAGACAAACTAGATGTACTTCGAGCTGCTGTCGGCGACGATTGCAGGCTTGTTGTACTCCTTTGAAGTTCTTCCTGAAATTACATTTATTAAATCAGTTTTGAATGCAAGGTTGGCGCGATTGCTGGGCAACTGGCTGCCGCGCAACGTGTCTCGGGTTCGATTCCTGGACGGAACAACTCTTTGTGTGATCCACAGATTGTTGTCACGGGCCTGGGTGTCATGTGTATGTGAACTTGTATGTTTGTAAATGCACCAATAGTTAAGAACATTCATCAAAATGATGGACTCCGTACGGATTACCCGACTACGGGATCTCGATTGGTTCAAAATTAGTTGGGTAAACTCGTAAAATGTGTTTATGCATTAAACTGTCAAACACCAAGCGGAGCACCGGTGACCGCAACCTATTGTTCTATAATTGTGTCTATAATGACGGTACTTGACGAGCTATATAAAAACTATATAATTTGATATGACTCACGACAATTATTTCACAAAACCACAAAGACAAGTAGTTGTGCGGTTGTGGTTGTCTTATTTTACTCAGGAGGTAATCTGGTAATAAGCAACATATTATGACCATTCCTAGATCAAAATGAAAGTCAATTAAATTAATTTCTCCCGTATCATGAATAAGACTAAACTAGGCGAGCTTATTGCTACACACCAGGCGTTACTTAGGCACCTACATTAACACCTTTGTTGCACTATTTGTCTTTGTACTGGCAGCTCGTTCATCTTTCAAGAGATTAGTGACACAAAATTAAAATATCGTCGCAATGTTTAGGGAATGATTACAGTAGTATTAACATAACGTAAACATAATTCTATTTATTTTTAAAATACTGTAAAACTGTAGTTGAAGAGTCTGTTTATTTGGTTGAACTAGTCTCTAGAACAAATGATTCGAATTAAAATATATGTTTTTGTTTTGAATTATATAATGCATTTATCAATAACATCGCGCTACGACCACCAGGAGCTGAGTAGCGTGTCAAGCCGCACGGGAGTACTTGTATATTAATTTAGTTGTAATAACTAATGTAAATATGTTTTTTTATTGTTATGGCCAGAAACATTATTATCATTATCATTAGCCTATAAGTGGCCAATGCTGACCAAAGGTCTCTTCTTACACAGCGAAGGCTTGAGCATTATTCACCAAGCTTGCTTAATCAAAACTAGGAATAACATAACATAATTAGGAATTATGAGCTCGGGTTTCCTCACGATGTTTTCCTTCAGCGTTTGTCAATGGTGTCTAGATAATCTAAGAAAGTACATATAACTCGGAAAAAGTCACATTGGTACTTTCTGTTGGTAGGTGTTGAGCTCGCGCCCACGTGCATGAGAAGCGGACGTCTTAAACATCCGGGCCACCACGACAGCCAGCCAGAAACATAATAACAATATAATAATAATAATAACAATATCTTAGAATATTCATCGAAAAAAATCAGGTATAGGTACCTTGTATTAGAACAAGTAGCTACTATATCGAATAAAATTACTTAATAAGGCTTTCAGCAATTAACCTATTGTTCGATGAATTACCTCTTTCACTTTTTATTAAATTGATGTCCTATATTTATATTAGCATTGTCCACTCCCGAACGTGGTACAAAGAGCAACGTAAATAATGTTCATTCATGCGATTCAGTTTGCATGATCGGTGTGCGAAGAATATTGGCAAATGTTTCGACAGTATTGAGCAAGCATCGTATCGTTCACTCACAGCCGGTGTCGGCAGCCAGGAATATTGACACGGACAAACCAGCTCCGGGAACAGACGAATCTGCCTACTTGAGCATTCATGTACAAAACCCGGCGGGTCAACTTACGTTGAACCGTCAAACTTCTAAAACGATTTTCGACTTTATAATTAAGCAGCAAGGTTGAGAATCTACTATGGAACTTTGTTAGATTAGACTAAGTTAACCCATTGACATCTGTGCAAATTCTATGCACACGGTATTTACAAACACATCACTGTTTGTGTGTCTAAAGCACAATGTTACCCGTCTAGTGTTTGCTTGTTTGACTGCAAATCGTAGGAGATTCGGGTATACTGCATATGTTATTGTTTATTAATTTTTAAACAAATGGCGTCTTATTGGCGTGCTATTTACATTGTACCTATATTTATTTATAGGTATAACATGATATCAGTTAGGGTTTGGAGGAAAATATTCAGGAAAAGTGTCGATAATTAACATGCATACATACAGATACAATCGATTAATTTGTAAAATGTGACTAAATAGTTTTATTGTTCAGACTTGCTAATATAATCAGGTTGACATTCGCGTAAAAATCCTCTTCCATGATAACAAGCTTCTATCTGTCATACAGACATAAATATAAACTCAGATTTATCTGTTTCAACTTACAACTCTACATCTCTAATTTTTATTCTAATAGGAATTTATTCTGAGACTGCCTCGTCGGGGGAGAGGTCGCAAGGGCGACTGGTAGGCAAGGGGTTTCGGGTTTGATTCCTGGGCCGGACAAAGTATTACTGAACTTTCTCAGTATTAGCACGGAGTCTGGAATTGCGCCCGGTATATGGCAGGCTTACCCTATTACATAGGACTCATATCATAAATAGTGAACAGTGGGTGTTACATTGTACAGTGGCATAAAGAGCCGTAATGTACACCTTTGTCAACCCCTTCGGGGATAAAAGGCTGATTTATATCACACGGTTTTATTATTTTTGTATTAGCTTTCTTAATAAGTTATATTTTCACTGTTGGGACCCTAATTGTAAAAAATATTCTAAGTAACCTATAATTGTCTCCCTCTCTCTCCTCTCTCATATCTCTCCTTGTGTTAATCGAACGTCAACAACAAATAATAAGTTTTGTAGAATACTTACATCATTTATTATTTACACAAACTGCTGTAGCTATGATAATAATTAAAATTGCATATAAATATTTTCGATTCTATTGATACTGTTTACTTATTACAGCATCCTAAGTGCTGCATGCACTACGAAAAAGGGTCATATTTGTTCTTTGCCAGATTTCAACGATTCATCGTCAAAATGAGTCATAATACTCATGATTCCAAGTCGATTGTACTTTACAGTCGTACATACCGCCATACGCAAAAAATCTTTAAAATATTATGATCACTTCGAATGTTATCATTGAAATGGAATTTACTAAAGAATGCACTGCAATAATTAATCTTACACGGAAAGCAAACAATGTAATCACTGCAGTGTACGGAATATGTTAGCTTGTTAAAGAAGAAACAATTTCATAAAATTTACTTTAAAACTTGTCTATAATTACAACAAAGCCGTATAAGTGAAAATCTTGTTAGATTAAGAGTATCAAGTGGAATCTATTCTACAATTAAAAGAGGTAAAAAGTTTTATACGAGCATCAATTAATACGATTAATATCTCAAATCACTTTAAACATTTAACTCTTCAATTTAAGTCACGAGTTCACTTCAATGAAATCAAATTTACATTTTCTTTTACCGAATACTTTCATATTATTGAACTGAAAGAGTTCAAACTATTACAATGTGATGAAAGTTCAGAACCGTGATGGTGAAACCTTTTATCATATTTGAATTGTAATAAGCCTTCACAAAAGAAGACATTCAAATGTACATTCGAAGTTACTTGGGCAGTCACCGCTACTTAATTTTAATAGGCAGTGTTGCTTATTATTGTATTCTTAATATAATACCTACCTATTAACAAATAATATTATATTAAGTTTAATTAAAATAACTTCAGAACTAAACAGAATAAACAAAGTTAAAGTGTTTTATTGTTTTAAGTTAATGGGTATTTTCGAATGATTTAAGTATAATTAGGACCCTGATTTAGGTATCAATAGAAAGACTTTAGTTTTCGCTCGCGGCTTGTTACTGTCCTAGTGATAGTCCAGCTCATGACATTAATTTAGAAGAATCCTTAATTAGCCTAAGTAAGAAAGCGGTAAATACTCTGATGCCATCATCATCACAATAATAACTTAAAGGTATTATAGTTTTCAAAGGACATACTCGAAACTAATAAAATTATTCTATAAAAGTAGATACGTATATTACGTTAACTACTCATACAAACTTAAATGATATAGTTAATAGAAAACACGAGATACTTACTTCGTGATTGTGTAGGGGTTCCCCGTAATGGCCATTACATGCGATGTTCTCGTTCAAGGACTGCAGTGACACCGACATGGAACTCTTTGACTGAATGGACTGGCTCCTGCCTATTGATTGTCGCTTGAATATTTCTGTTGTATTTTTCAAAAAGCTATCCATTTTTTTCCTAAAAAAGGAAGATTTTCTCTCTAGCGGAGATTTCCCAATTGAATTTAGATCCAATTCAGACTGTGACAAACCCCCACGTCTAGATAACATAGTCTGATCCAGAGATAGTTTTCTGTCGCGAGCCTTAACATGCGAAATCTCGCTCGGGGGCGGTGAATCAATTTTGACGTCTGCTATTTCTTCGATGTCTTGTTTGTTTTCTTCACTAATTAGCACGAAATCTTGCAAACCTTCTGGTACACTGATAGATTCATGTATTATCGGGTCAGTCGTACTTTCATTTTCAATACAATCTTCAAGTATTTCTTCTTCCGACTCACTATGTTTATCGACAGTTTCTTCAGCATTGGCTTCGCCTGTTTCTTCACTGTTGTTACTGACGATAACGTCAGGATTTGTTGCGCTCGGTGGGTCTGGTATATTTTGATTTTCACTATTTTGGTCGTCACTATTTTGATCTACACCAAATATGTCTTCATTATCGTTAAAATCTTTATTTTGCATAACTTTACTCCCTTTTGGTGCTTTTATTCGCATACTACTATTCATTTTGACGGTTCTTAATATCTCCTTTATTTTGAGATTTTCCTTAATCGCCTTGACATCCGTTATAAATAACGGAGACTGGTCCTTGTCTACGTACTTCATCGGTTTTTCTTTTTTAGATTTTTGCCTAAAACGATCCATTTTGAGAAATAGCACTGCACTCACAGGTATCACAGAAACACTTCACGAATAATAAAATCAGTGTCACAGCATTTTGTTGAGAGGAACATTTATCAGCACGTAACTAGCACACAACGTTACACCTGTACAAACCATTTAATCATGGTGATGGCGGTAACGATAACAATATGTCGACGAAATCGAACGGCATCGGCTCGCAAACCAATAAATGTGGTCCCAGGGCTGCCACCCGCACACTTGCCTTACATACAATACGATAATTATTACATTGATTACATTATCCTGCTATTATTACAGCGTTTTTGTGTTTAATGTTGTCACCACAAAACGAGCTACGTCATTAAAATTTTATTAAAGTAAACACGTTTCGTGCGGCCTCTGCCATGATTAGTTACTTGTGTGTCTTCAACTCTAGCGATATCTTGTGGCCTGTGATAATCTTTGATAATATATCGCATAATCTATATAGCATTTTTTCTTTTATCTTTAGTCCATGTTCAACGTACATCGACTATAACAGCGAGTATCTTGCACCGCGCGTGTGACCGTCGCGGTCTTAACAAAAATTATTACACTAATTTTCCACTATGGCACCACTCGTTATCAGTCTACGACTAGCAAATATTTATTCTATGTAAAACGATAATAATACGAGGTCTTCGGCTCTTGAACAACTTGTAGAATAAGTATTATAATTTGTTAAAGTAGGTACGATATTAAATTGATAAAATAATTTCCTATGATTACCGTATCTAATCATAGATCACGTTGCACGTTGAAGATGTTGCAATAATTTGAATGTTTGTTGACGAATTAAGTGCCTGTTAATAGCTTTGAAGGATTTGAAACTATATATCATAGTAATTTACCTAACTGTCAAACATCAAGCGGTCACCGGTGACCGCAACCTATTGTTCTTTAATTGTGTCTATATTGACGGTGCTCGACGAGTTAATTCATTTCAACATAATGAACACAACACAATAATTTGTGGTTTTGTAGGTTTCCTGAGATATATTTTTATGTAATTTCGCAGGATCGGACACATCTAATACTTTGCTAACTTTGTTATTAACTGCACGTAAAGATATAATTATTATTGTAGAATCCATAATATCCAATAGGTGTGTAATGTAGGTATGTATGTTTACTACGTATTTTATTAAAAGCAGTTTCCTAATGTATTCCGTGTTTTCCCTATTTACTTACTCAAATTATTTTTTATCAATATATCTAATCACTCCATAAACTATTTTATAGCTTCATAAAAAAGTGAGTAATATTGTTTTGAACATTAAAAACAATTACCTGTTAGAGTCATTTACTATTTGAACTAATTAGTAGGGACTTTCAATATTTGTGGTATACTTAGGGTCGACTTTTTAATGCTTAGTTAAATTTTATCAGAGATAACTTTGAATATTCCACAATTCTTCCATACCTACTAAAAACTGTCAATTATGTCAATTTTATTCTAGAGGTACAGTTAAGAAATAACTGATAATTACAAATCGGCCCATAGACGTCAATTATTTTTTGAAATATTTCACGATGTTGGCAGTGTTTTTAACATAATATTACACTACAGATTTTTTCTAATATATTTAGAAGCCATGAGGGGGAGGCTTATGTTTAGCAGTTCAGTGGACGTCTCGTGGCAATTATGATAATCACATTTCTTCCTCTCCGGAAAACTCTCTATTCATAGGAAAACCGTGCGTTTAATAAAAATAAGTATTTATTTCAATTTTTGATAAGATATAGGAAATGATCTCGATCTTTGTGTTAATACTGTGAATTTGGGAAGAAAGAAATTGAACTCAGCAGTACCTACTTACTAAGTCTAACATTCATATAAGTATAAAAAGACATCAAAAAGCTACACCAAATCCAAATAGGTCCAGTTCAGCCAAGTTGGTGCCATTTTTATTACGTAATAGAATAACTCTTTCACTTTACTTTAATCCTTTTACCGAGTAATATTGATGAGCTGATAACATTGTCTCAATGTTTACTTAGGTCAGTCGGCGGCGCGCGGCGGCGAGTGATAACCTCGCACTTGACACTTATGGATTTGGGAATTGTTGCTTCATACATAGCATAACACGTGTGAACCTTGCTCTGAACGACGAGTCCTGCGTAAGTAAGTGTGTAGGTAATATAATTACACAGTATTACTGTCGTATAACGTGCTCAAAGGAGCCGCTGACAACGATTACGCAAATCATAAACGAATAAAGATAAATGTTTCCTGAACGAGTCGCGAAGTAGGAACGCGGCTGTAGAAGCCATTAACAAATCGCATTACATTTACTGTAACCACATTGTGATTGTCAATTTGCCTTGCAATTTAGGGCCGATTGGTACCAGGGTCACATGACCAGCGAAACATTAACGTTACGACTTCGCATTTTCCAAATTGTTACTACCCGCCGGACACAGGAATAAAGTTTATTTTTCTATTTTAAGCAAAACGCGGGCCTAGACGTTCCTTCTTGGGCTCGCTGCCATTGCAGCGGTAAGTCCCCTCTTTGAGGAGTGGCTTGAGAGACGCTACGGTGTCTTCACCTACCGCCTGACGCAGATCCTTACCGGACATGGAAGTTTCGGGAGGTACCTGTGCCTGAAGGGGCGGGAGAAAACGCCCAGGTGTCATCACTGCGAGGACCGCCCTGAGGACACGGTGGAACACACTGTAGCGGAATGCCCTGCGTGGGCTGAGCAGCGCCGTGCCCTCGGGGAAGTGATCGGCGATGGCGACCTCTCGCGTCCGGGCCTAGTGCAGGCCATGATGCGGAGCGAGGGGGACTGGGATGCCGTCTCCTCCTTTTGCGAAGCAGTCATGCTAGCTAAGGGGGAGGCGGGACGCGTGAGGCAGCAAAGTGCTGCCTCCTCGCAACCCAGCCATCGCGAAGGACAAACCGGGCGTCGGAGACCGCGAGAAGATCTCCAGCCATCGTAAGCGCGGGCCTGCGGACGGCGAGCATGGGTCTCTCCCCGTCCGACCAGAAACAGACTCAAGCGTACGGCGCGTCGCGTTCCGCGCGCGCCTCAAAGAGCCATCAGACCACCACAGATGGGGCCCAATAGGGCCGATGCCGATGCGGAGTCGCGGAGAACCTAACGCGTAACCGGGGCTCCGGCTCGACGTGCAGAAGAAGGAACGGGGTGGTTTTTAGTCAGTAAGAGTCTGACACTCCCTCCCGCCTCACCTAGGCGGGAGCAGTAATTCGATGATTTTCCACACTTAAAAAAAAATAGACGTTCCTTCTACCATGTTAATCATTTGAACATCGCAACAGACTGATAGACAGTAAATATATTCAATTAAGATAAATGACCGTATATACTTAGGTCCAATTAACTAATAACTATATTATATAACCAAACCTACAATTTCCATTCATACCATATTATCATTCTTAGCTCTCAATAAGTAGGGATCTTTGCTTTCAAAGGATGGTAATCGCCATACAGTCGCTCAAACCAATAACAACCTTACTTGAACTCCTTGAATCAATATTTTATTTATTTATTTACCCGGCAAATCATACTGTATCCCGCTGAGAAAACTGCTCTGGTCTACCTAATAATTGAACACACAACTACATCCATACCGAACTATGTTTATACCGTAGGCAACAAGTAAGGTACAGTACAGTTAAATGCAAAAACTTTGACAACATTTTTCCATTGCCTGCTTTACCTACCAACTTGTATATTTCAAGAGTAATTTGTCGTAACCAAAACTTTGTCTTGGTTTAATTGATGACTACCACTGACGCACTCTCACTATTTATGTCTGTGTGTACAGAGCATAAAGAAGATAATTCGATGAACCGACACTTCTATTCAGTTTCAAATAAATCAAAGTTTTAGAACAAAATTAATTATAAAAAAGTGACTTACGATTGGAACGTCGGTGTTGCGGAACCCGAATTCTGGCGTAGTTTTGTTCTATGGTACAAATTATATTGAAATTGTGCGCTGTACTATGAATGAGGCACATTAGACTTAGGTAACATTGGACTAAACTGGCAATGAAAATTACAAATGAAAAGTGAGCGTTATAGACTTCTTCTAGGTATTAGTGAACTCAACCATTCTCATTTCTCCAATGATCATAACCACTGAAAATCGACAATAAATAGGTTTTCAGTAGGTACTTGTAACATTTAAATGTATCTAGACTAAGATCAGTTTGCAAAGAGACAACATTCACAAGTTCGAGAAGACACGTGCTAAGTACTGTTTATCTGGGTCCAGGCATCTGACACAAACCGCTCGTCTTTAGAACTAGGTGCAACTAGAAGGTCACACCAACATAGTTGCAATGAATAATTAAAATATTTGTTACTGTAGCGTTTACAACGACTGTTTACTATTAACACAGAAAAGAGTTTTCTTGTTTGAGCTATCAGATCAATAATAAGTAAGAAAGTGATTCTCAAGTTTGATGACTCCAAATAAGCGAGAGAATTCTTTGGCAAGACTTAATTTACGGTAAAAGATAACATTAATAGGGCGATTAAAAATGTAATACGAATAGTAAATAGCAATAAAATATATAGTTTTTTTTATAAAACAACTAGCAAACCCATGGCTTCGTTGTATGTAACATTTCGTTTGGTGATTAAAAGATGAAGAAACATTTTTTCCTGAATTTTCTTTGCTATAAACCTCACGTAGCCCGAGACCTTCCCAACGAATGCAAAACCGTGGAAATCGTTCGTTCTGGAGTTACAGCGTCAGGAAGGAAAACCCGACTTATTTTTATATAGTAGATATATATAAGAGATTATTTGGTCCACAGTGGCCACTTTTATGCTGTTAATGTGAAATCTTTTTAATAAAGAGGTTTCACATAACTAGTACATAATATTAAGATGTGGCAGAGGACACATCTCATAAACATGAAAATGTAATTATTATAAAAATACTTCTGCATCGCTTTGTACAATGTATGCAAAATAATATGATTAGCTGTATTGAGTTCCCCATGAGTACGGCACGTGTGACTACATTAAAATTGACTAACTAGAATAATGCAAATAAGTAGGTTCAGTCCCTTGTCGTTCCTTTCACGTGTACAAGTATTGTTAGTTTTTGTTTGCAACAATGTTACAAATATATGCAGTATTTATGCACAGAGGTTATCTATTTCGCCCATCAAATCAGTTAAAGCGACTTCCCGTCTAGATTAAAAATCAGAATATACTCTCCGGTTTCAAAACAATTTTGGTACCTAAGGACTAATTTTGATATCTAGTGTACCTACCATGGAAGTCGTGGTGACTCGATAGATTAAGACACTGGCTTCTCATGCAACAGGGCGTAGGTTCGAAACCTTATCTATGTGAGAAAGGGCCCTAGTATTGGCCACTTATAGGTCGTTGATGTGTGATGTCATGTATGTACTGGTGTAGTAGTGTAGCAAGTCTTTTTTTAAGGGGGGAAAATCATCGAATGACTGCTCCCGCTTGGGTGAGGCGGGTGGGAGTTTTAGACTCTTACTGACTAAAAACCACCCCGTTCCTTCTCCTGCACGTCGAACCGGAGCCCC